TCCACCATTGATCAGATATTCACACTGCGACAAATTCTGGAAAAAGCTCACGAACATAACATCGACACTCATCACCTTTTTGTCGATTATAAAGCAGCTTTCGATAGCCCCATTAGGGATCGCGTTTACGCCGCAATGTCTGAGCTCGGTATTCCTGCAAAATTAATTCGACTTTGCAGAATGACGCTGAGTAATACCCGTAGCTCCGTCAAGGTAGGATTGAGTCTCTCTGAACCTTTTGATACCGTGCGAGGCTTCAGACAAGGTGATCCCTTATCATGTGACCTCTTCAATTTCGTCATGGAAGTGATCATGCGCAGGGCAGGTGTTCATCGTAATGGAACAATATTCTACAAATGTGTCCAGCTCCTTGCTTACGCCGACGACATTGACATCATTGGGCGTAGCAAGCGTGATGTTACAGCTGCTTTTGCTGCTATCGAAAAGGAATCTGCAAGAATGGGTTTAGCGGTGAATGAGGGAAAAACGAAGTATATGTCGGCTACTGGTAGAAATGTGCGTCGCTCGGACGCCGGGCTAGTGGCTGGCGACTATACTTTCGATTCTGTCAAGGATTTCATCTACCTTGGCGCCGCCGTAACGAATACAAATGATGTCAGTCTGGAGATCAGACGAAGAATCACGATTGCTAGTAGGTGCTACTATGGGCTCAGTAGGCAATTGGGATGTAGAGCTCTCTCTCGACAAACGAAACTTACGCTCTATATGTCGCTCATCCTCCCTGTGCTTCTGTATGGCGCAGAAGCATGGACGTTATTACAGAATGATGAAGCAGCACTGGGAGTGTTCGAGAGAAAAGTTCTTCGTAAGATCTTTGGTCCTCTACGAGTTGGCGACGACTACCGCATTAGAATGAACCACGAGCTGTACGAGCTTTATCACGACATTGATGTAATTCAGCGCATTAACATCCAGCGGCTTCGCTGGCTTGGTCATGTCGTGAGAATGGATGAGGCTGCTCCGGCTAAAAAGGTGTTTGAAGCAGTAGTTGGCGGAAGAGACGTAGAGGTAGACCGTGTCTCCGGTGGAGTGATCAAGTTGAGGGAGCACTAACTGGACTTGATATACGAGGCTGGAGAAGGCGCGCACGCAGCAGAGGCGCCTGAGGAGACATGCTGCGTCAGGCCGAAACTCGGTAACGGGTTGTTATGGCCACATAAGTAAGTAAGTAAGTACACTGGCATTAGGTCTGGAGAAGCAATTAAATATTGTTGTTAGTCACGAGGAAATAAGAAAAGTGCTATTACAAAACATTTATTCTTCGAAAGTTAAACATTACACGTAAAATTTGGTTACTTTTGCTAATTCTCAGCAAGCAATTCAAACCCTGAATGTGTTGTAATGACCTTTCCGGCCCTTTCCACGGCCGGGGTACACTCAGCGTATACCAGGGTTCAGTACAAAAATAAAATATATCTATTTAAACTAAGAATAAACAATTCAAGAGATTCCCAAAAAGAAAACTAATAAAATAAATAATACAGTTTATATAGTATATGCTTCATTAGGCCTTTTCGGTGGCTCGCAAGTACGGCAAAAAATGCATGTTGGCCTATGTTGGCCACGCGAGTCATTGGCATCACTGTTGCAATCTGTCAAATGTTTTGTTTTGACAAACGGCAAATCTTGTATATGTGCATATAAATCAGTTATATTTTTAAAAAAATATTATAAAATTAAAATGAACACGGAATTAAAAGGAATGGTAAGAATATTGGAAATTTAAAAATAAAACACTAAGATAAGTAAATTTTTGTAGGTGGTGTCGATGTTGGGAGAAGAAAGCACCGTTTTGCAGCGGCCGAGGGATGCAAGTTGTTTCACGGATTTTTTAAATGTTATGAATGCCGCAACAGCCTCCTCTGAAGATTCAAGCAAGAGTGAAGAAGAGCAGGAAAAGTGTAAAAATTTTGAAGAAAGTATAGAATCAATGAACCCAATGGATTTTAAAAATCACTTCAGATTACGACGAAGTACAGCGGAAGACCTTATCTGTAAATATACATTGAGTTGTTTGTGATTAAATTACAAATTTAATTTATTTCTAGTGCGCTTCTCAGAATCGGAGAATTTGTCGGATACAGATTGTGGTGGTATTAAACATGTAAGCTGCAGAAGGTCTGTCTATATATATCTTTGGTACGTTGGTAATACAGTAACTTATAGACAATTAGGAAATCTCTTTGGAGTGTCAGTTTCTACAGCATGGTCAACAGTAAAAACTGTTGCTACGTTTTTGATTTCCATAGGCCGAGATTATGTATCATGGCCACGAGGTGTCGCTGCATTAGATATAATAAATACATTTGAACGTAAACACAAAATACCAGGCATTATCGGAGCAATCGATTGTACACACATTCCCATTAAAAAACCACAAAACCATGAAGAAGATTACTTTAATCGCAAGCAAGTTACTTGCGGAGAACCTGGATCTTTGCATGATTACAGAGTTTTGAGAAAGTCAAAGCTATATAGAATGGCACAATCAAGATACGAAGAAATATTTCCCAACTCGACATTTATTATTGGAGATTTTGCTTATCCTTCTACAAACTGGATTGTGTCACCTTACAAAAATTATGGGAATTTAACCGATAGTCAAAAAAAATTTAATGAAAAACACTCATCTGCTCGTATTGTAGTTGAGAACGCTTTTGGTTTACTAAAAACTCGTTTCCGAAGATTATTAAAATTTACGGAGCAGACAATTTTGGCTGCAATAACAAATATAGTTGTAAGCGTTTGTATTTTACATAATATTTGTATTATAAAGGATGATTTGTTTGAGAATGCTGAATCAAATAGTCAAAACAATGACGAACAGCAAGCTGATGAAGAGCATGAATTAGATCATGGTAATAATAGAAGGGAAAGACTTTTTAATTATTTGTTAAGAAAAGGTGTTATATAAGTTTATTAATTAATATATTTATTGTAATTTTTTAAATAGAAAATTTTGTTACATTTATAGAAACTAACTTAACTTAGTTCAATAAGTAATAATATTTTAATGTGTAAATATTTTGTAATTTATTTATTAATAGCATAAATTAATGTGTAAGATTAGTTTTAAGATTAAAATATTATAATGTTTTTGAACGAAAATAAAAATACTATACTATTACAACTAGAAACTTATTTGAACTTAAAATATTTTACATAAAAGTAAAATAAATAGTACAAATTTTAATATGAATTAAAGAAATTCTTAACTTAAAAATATATATTACATAAAATGAATATAACATATTTTTAATTAAAATAAAAATATTATATCAACTTATTTCATATCATTGACAAAGTATTTTAACTTACACATATTTTTTTTATAAAATATATATAAATATATTTACATATTTTGCGTAAGTTTTTCAAGTAACTTGAATTTATTTTCTTCCAATTTCAATTTTCTTTCCTCTAATTTCAATTCATTACCCCATTTCTTAATTATTTTTTTGCTTCAGTTCATTCATAGTTTCTTTAAAAAATTTTAATTTCTCTTCCTCTATTCTTTTCTTAACAAATAATTTGTTATCATAATATTCTTGACGCACAGATTTTCTTTTGCGGTTAAATTTTGAAGGTTGTGGCAATTCCTGCATTTGCAATTCCTGCGTTGATGATTCTTGCGTCGGCGATTCCTGCGTTGGAGATTCCTGCGTTGGCGATTCTTCCGTTGGTTATTCTTGCGTTGGCGATTCTTCCGTTGGTGCTTCTTGCGTTGGCGATAGCTCAGCGTGCGTTTGCACAATGTTTATTTCCAACTCTTCCAGCACCTCTATGTCTTCAACATAGCTGTCAAACCCTAACGTCGCAGTGTGATTATTTGAAATAATTGGTTTATCACCAAATATTTCGTTCATCAACTCCATGTAGGGTGGTAAGCATTGCGATGCACCAGTCCGTCTGTTGTTATCTTTGGCTGCTTTAAATGCACTTAGAAGTGTGCGCATTTTTCTTTCTAAGCAGACTGGAGTAAAGTCATCCTAAAATAAATATTTTTTTTTAATATAATTTAATTTTTTTTTTTATTCAAATGATTGCAGAAGTTATGCGATACTTACTGCAATTCCATGTGCTATCATGTCCTCAAGTACATGTTGATATCCAAGTCTTTTTTTTCTGGTTTCCATAAACTCTTCCTTTCGTGCCAAGTAGCACTCTAGAAAACACTTCGTTTCCTTTGTGGTCCATAGTTTACGTGTATTTCTATAAAAAAATTTTTTAGAAAAACTTCAAAAATTATGTTTGTTTAATTAATTTTACGTATGTAAACTACAAATTAAATAGAATAAAATAAATGTTACTTGGTAATAACTAACATAATAAAAAAATCAATGTGCTTAATACTTACGATTTAACCATTCTTATTATTTCTTCGTTATTTTTCAAGATTTTTTTTTCGCCTATTATTACACACTAGATGTATTTCAAAAAAAAAAAAAACTTAATACAATACTAAGTAATAACATAAATAATACAATGCCTGTAATATACTTTATATAGGTATTTATACATACAAAATTCAATTACTTATATAAACAAAAAATTATATAAAAAAATATGACAATTGATATAATATATATGCATAATATAAGCACATGCTGTGGAATTCTTTGCTGCTGCTACATACATCTGCCGTTGATCGTCAGCAACACCCGTTTTAAAATGTGGTTGGCTTCCTTTGTAAGCCCACCAGTTTCTTATCGATGAAATGAATCTACCAAATGCAGCTCAAAATACCCCTTCCTCAGTGTAAAAAAATTAACACAATACAGGGCTTGGAGTCACCAACTATACACTTGATTTTATTCCTTTATTTCAATGTTTGCGTTTATTACGTTTGTAGTTCACTAAGAATCCGTCGTTTTTTATTCACTTTATATTTTTATTATTAATCCGCCGTTTTTCTTTTGTTCACTTTATCTTTTTTTCTAACCATCCGCCGCGGAGTATCAACCGTATTGCCTCAAAACAAAACAACCACCCGACCTCCAAAGCAATCAAACTGTTTTTTTATTTCGACTCCGTTTTTTTTTCTCCTCTGGCCATCGAACTCAACTTTCCCCTCTTTCTTTTTCTCACCTTGCGATTTTAAGCTGCACTCTCAGCTTTGGCGAAAACGAAAATGTAAACATCAGTCAACATGTTATTTCTCTCATTGTTATTTTTTTTTTTTTGTTTGATTTCTTTTATACATATGTTTGTTGCCAGTGTTTAATATATATTTTTTTTTATTTATTTATCAGAATAAAGATGAATATAAAAAAAAATATATATATGAAAAAAACTGTAAGATCAATTTTGTTTTGACAAAGACCAAAAAAATTGATCATTACGGTATATAACTTGCTTATAGTTTATCTGTGTACCAACGCGCAAAATTTTTATTGTTGCAAATTGTCGAAAAAAACAGTTATATTTGATTTATTGTTAAGAATGACACTACGGTGCAAAACATTTTTTGCGTTTTCTGAAAATTGGGGAATTTCGAGTTCTGCCTCTTTCGAAGAAGGTGTGCGATATGTATATCACATACATTCTCTCACCACCTTCATTTTTTGTTGATCACTTTTTTACTTGGTCAATGATGACTGCATAGCAGGTCTGGCCATGACCTTTTTTTATATATTTTGATTATTATCCAAATATGGGACGTAAGGTAGGAAGCGGCCGCTTCCAAAACAAGTTCGTAGGGTTTGCTTGCCGCCGTGTTGTTCAAAGTATTTAAAATATTCCAAACTTTTGTATAAAAAATATAATTCAATTTAAAGTTCATTAATTTTTATTAATAGCAATGAGACATTTTCATTAACACTAAAAACAAAAAAATAAAAATATACAAGGATGCATAACTTAGATATATAATACTTATTTTACAATTTTAACATGAATGGCCAGTGTAGTAGAAATTTTGTTCTTGTTAATTTGAATGTATTAGTTTCAAGTCTTATGAATTTTTATGTTATTTGTTTTCCTTATTATAATATGTTCTCAAGTACAACTAAAATTTATATAGACATATTAAATAATACATTTATCCATTTTCTGATAGATTGAACTGTATTTATAAAATTTACCATTTGTGTACTGTTAGTACTATAATTATACTTAACTAATATATTAAAAAATCGTAATATAAAATATTATAAAATCAATAAATTGCAAGTCTATATTTATTCGTTCTGGGGTTTTAACTAGATATTACTTAACAAGCAGAAAATCTACTTCAATATTATATTGTAATAAATTTAACTGCTAGACATCTGTGATCGTTTGATTTATCGAATAAATTTTTAAATAGATTGCTGTTGGCCATAAGCAGTGAAGTCACGTTGTTTCACATAACCGGATATTTTACCAGAGCTGAACAAATCATTACTAGTGGAATTAAATTTATTTAAGTCTTCTATTGTTGTGTAATCATCATTCAAACTTAATTGAGGAGACAATTCAAATATTTCTTTAAATAACTCATTATGCTGTATATATCCACTTGCATTAATAGGCGCAGTTACCATCTTTGGGCTGTAATGATCAATATCTTGTAATGCTTGATTAGTATTTTCTATCAAAATCGATGAAGGTACATATTCGTCTGATGTGGATGATTGATTTGTTTGAATTATGTTATTTACAGAAACATAACCATTATCACATTTTGATTTTTTAAATCCCTTACAGTCATTATTATTTTCGCTATTATGCTCTTGCAAATTTACGACACTTTCAGGTCTGATGTTGACTCCAACTTTTTGTAATATTTCCATATTTAGGCCAACTACTTCAATAACATTGTAATTGCTTTTGCCATTGATGTTGCTTTGAAACGTATTTGATATGTTGCTACAACTGCTTTCAGCTAACGAGCTAGAAGACCCATTAGAATGTGTACGTTCGTAAATCACTGAATTCGCTGTTATGCTACTAATATCATTAACAGATGTGGTTTTAATATTTTGACTTCTGAATGTATGTGGCTCAGCATGATAACCAAATTCATTATTAACAGCGGAAAGCAAATGATGATTTTCATTTGAATAACCAAATTCTTTCTTTGTATTCATTTTAACAATCTGAGTATCTTTCTTTATTTTAAGTATTTCGGTCGTAAAAACTTCATTATTATCTTTAGGAACTTCGAAATCTATAAAATCCGAAGGTAGCGTGCAATTTATATTCGCCATTTTGTTGTATTGTTTTCGTGCTATATAAAGAGTCATCATTACACCTAAAGACAAAACAATAACACAAAGTGCAATTTTGGTTATTTTACTAAGCCGATTTGTGGGGCAACCATATGTAGTACCTTTTACCCATTCAGATTTATAAAGGTAATATAAAGAACTGTTTTGGTATTTTGTAATAGGTTCTTTACCATTTGAGCATATCAGTTCATTTGTTTCATAATAATCGTTTATAACTACATCGTCTGAAAAAGAAGACTTTTTTTCGTCTTGTGAAATATCGTTTATATCTACAGCATTTACTGCTCGAACTTCTAAAGTTGTTTTATATTCATGATCGATACATGCAGGTATTTTTAAACTACAATTGAGTCCTTCGATAACACTTATCCTTCTTGCTAACACATCAGTGTTCCGTGTTTGAGTAACCGCTACTTCGTAAAAACTTAAAGGACCACCTGGTAATACAGGTTCGGCCCATTGTATTACAGTATTGTTGTTATCACCACCTACAGGAACTGCACTACCAGGTAGCGATGGATCTATTATGAAAAATGTTTTAAAAAATTATTAATATATTGTTTATTTATTTCATTATAATACTTACAACTAATTAATGTTGTAAAGTGAATATCGTTGCTTGTATCTGAGGTAACACTATTTTCTGCTGTCACATAAACCTTATATGCTGTGTACGCGTATAAATTTTCTACTTTATAGATAATTTGGTTTGAGGAATTATAAAAATCTTCATTTGGAATATGATATCTTTCACCATTCACAGTAGCAATATAATTTCGAATCGGCCCGTTAGGCTGACTAGGAGGCAACCATTTTAACAAAGCGCTTGAATTAGTAATGTTCGACACCTGCAGTTGACGTGGAGGTGATGGAGCGCACTCGAGAGTTTGGAGATATATTGGATCACTCATTTTACCCTCATTAACATGAGAATACATTCTCATTTGAATTTTATAAATTGTATAAGGCTTCAAATAAGATATTGTAAGTTTTTTCAAATTTTTGTCCACAATTATATAAGTAGGTAAATTTGAGCAACTTTTATTTTTAAATTCTACTTCACAATAAGTAACATTGTAACCATCAAGTATAGAGACACAAATACTTTCTGAACTCCATTGTATTGTAATAGCAGAAGCAGATATTTGCTGCGCACTTGGATCCATTTTTATTAGATCACTATTTTCATCCATCGTGCATGGTGACCAATGCATACCCGTATTGAAACCCACAAAGTTTGCAGAGACTGCTAAATTAAGTGTATGTTCCTGAGACTTACTTGTAAAAGTTTTAACATTCGGACCAAAATCCTCAAAATGAATTGACTCCTAGAAACACAATAAAATGGTGAGTTTAAAAAATTTGCTATACATAATTTTCTTACATTGCATTCATTCTGAAGTGCTCTTTTTGAATTGCACCAGTAAACTGTGTAACCAAGCAGACCCTCAGTATTTATTGGCGAACACCAAGTAAGGGTATAAGTTCGATTAGTAGCATGGTAAACATTATGTATTGAGAGCGGTTTATAATTTTTAGAAATCCGGGACTGCTGCGGGAATATTGAAATAATGCTTGCTTCTCTCGACTCACCTAGATGATTACTACTTTTTATTTGGAAATGGTAAGAGGAATACTTATCCAACCTAAACTTTGCAGAATTGTTCTCGAATTGTATTGACTGGTGTTGCCTCCAAAACAAATATATACCTTAGTTTGTGATAAATTTTTTTCAATTAACACTTACATTAGAGTATGATTTAAAAATTCACTTATAATATAGGTGAAATTGTCTCCATTATATTCAGTTGGTCCTAAAAGCTCCCAATAAAGACGCACGTAAGTTTCTGTTGAATCGATATAAAAACTACCGTTGCTTGTTCGAGGAGGCCGATCAGGTAACCTGGCAGAAGTATTAAAACTAAGCAAAAATGGTTCACTCCACATTTTTTCTTTTAATAGCGCAGTTTTAACTTTAACTCTAATTTTTAAGTCATATTTATAAAAAGCAAACGGCAAATCATAAAGTTGAATGTGAACTTCAGTATTTGATTTCATCTGTATATCTTTACTAATATTTTTGGTTTCTGGTGTCAGTTGAATATTCCAATCTAATCCTTTATTTTTATACTTCTCTCCTTTCGGAATTTTCCAAGTAGCTTCAAAAAAAGTAGTTGTTATGTTTATTATACGGTAATCATGCCCTGGTTTTGATGGTATCATAGAATCCCAATTGTTAATATAGAAATATTGTGTGAAGGACCCGAGATTATTCGTAGCGTTTAAAGTAAAATTGAAGAATTCTGCGTTTATCCGAGTAATGTTACATACAGTTTTATTGTCGTAGTTACAAATCGTATCATAACTATAATCAGGCGACTGTGTTACATACGTAAGTACATATTGACTGCTAACAGGATTGAATGGCTTAGTAAAGTTGCAAATCATATATTCGAAGTCGTATGAAAGACAGCGAAAATCCTGTACTGGCAGGTTCGATGGAATATAGCCTACATAGACATTTGCTTGCGCAAGAGCGTGTATGCCACATTTACATATATACTTTGAAAATTGTTCTGGTGCGTCTCGAATCATAAAAGTTATTGTTGTGTTATTTATTATTTCAATATCTTTTTGTGGTACTCTGCTTTTTGTAGAATCATTGAAAATATATAAATCAGTTGAGTTGCTATCCTGAAAATACGTTTGATTCATACGACATGTAATATTCGCGCTTCCACCTATTTCTATCTCAACTAATTCTGGATATATGTCTCCCGGAACCGTTGCTTGAATAGATTTTAGCACATATGACATAAGTAGTATCAACAAAAAATACATTTTAATATACGATACCGATCCGATAACGATTTGTTACCTTTAAAGAAGTAATACGAACGAATCCTTACAATTTGTTTATATTTGCAAACGTTTTTCCAGAATCAAAGGTGTTTTGCTCTTTTAATACATTTTCGGTGGCGTTATGTATTTATATACATTTACTATTTTTATTCAAACGTTAACACTTCCACAGAGTTGAACCCTAAATGGTTAATTATTTTTAAATTTCTTGGAAACCTCATTTCTGATTAAAAACAATATTTTTAGTAGTGTGCGTAAAGTGATTTTAAATAAAGTTGCCATCATTCAAAATTGTAAAATGAGATTGCCAACAGGGCGTTTACACTATAAGATTCTAATTTTAAAATTTTAGCTGCGTACTGTACAGAAGTTGGTATATGTGACGTTTATTTCTTTCGAATTAAATTTTCCATAATATCGTTGAGACTTTTTAATAAATCATTTCTTCTTCATTATTTTTCATTATTTAAAAAAAAAGTAAAAAAACTCAAAATTTTTTAACCAAAATGTTTATCTACTCTATATGTAATTCTTTCTTCAGGAAAGTGGGCTTATATTTGCGAATTTTATTAATGTATAAATATTGTAAACTATTATTAATTTTGTAATTTTTTTTTGTCGAAAGTGACACATTTTATGAAGAAAAGAAACTATCTAAAAGTTAGAACGGTTGGAATAGAAATGAAAAGACAACAACAAAAGTGTTAGTTAATATATTGAAATTTGCAGCTCGTTTTGCAACTTTCTCACTTCGTTTTCTCGAACGATCGAGAAAGTTACATAAACGAGCCATTGGCTCAGCATACAACGCTGTTTCGTGTATTGCCAAGTAGTCATTACTGGTCTCAGGAAATATTAGAATTTTTAAATTAGTTTATAGTCTTTATATAATTTATTTTGACTGAATATGCTAGGCTTAAAACTCGTGCCAGTCAAATTAGAAGCGATGACTAATTCTGTTTTTCCATAGGTAGCCAAGGCTGCACAAACTTTCAATGCTTAAGTTGCAAGTTTTTTGTCATTTCTTATTTAATTAGTGACACTAACAAAAACACTTGGCGTGCTTTTATATTAGAACGAGCTTATAAACTATAGCTTTACAGCTTTAGAAAGTAAATTTTTGAAGTTACCTATTTTTGTTTCAAAGTTATTTTTTTGTAAATACATCTGTTATGCATTATTTCACTTATTATACGTAAAGCGCCTTTTTTGGGTGCAATTTTATAAAGAAACTCTATGTTACACTATAAGTTCGCTAATCGCGATTAGGAAAAGCTGAACAATATTATTGTTTGTATTTCCTATAATTCTAAACTTGTAATGTTAATTTTTTTGCCGAAAGAAACTATTTAAAATTTAGAAAGGTTCGAATAGAAATGAAATAGGAAGAACGGAAACTACGCTCACTTCGAGCATAACGAAGAGAAATTACTAAAGTAAATTTCTATTTTAAAGCATTTTGCAACACGTATTGAATACATGTGATCTTACCACGATAACATTCAATTAGTTTCTTTTGGGGTAGCAGAATATTCATATGTTTACCTTTCAGTAATATAAAAAACTTAAAATATGATAAATACATATATAAGTTATTATGTAACAATTGAAATCAATTAATTGAAAACTATTTTTAACAAAATTTTTAGTTTAATTTGCTTAATCATATAAATGTATTTGATCCCAGATAATTATTTGCATATTCGATTCAATTCTTAATGGTTATTACTGTTTGAATATGAAGTATACAATAGGGTTATTGGTAACGTATTAAAAGTGCAACGCAGCAACAACAAAATACATATCTAGTGATGTGTTGCAATGTTACTACGTTAGTCAAGTATTTGGTTTGACTAACATTTGCGTTGCACTTTTACTCTTTTTTCAATGTTGCCATATTTCTTATACATAAGAAAAAATTTTACTCCGAAAATGTATTTATACTAAGCATTTCGTATGGACAGCATTTAAAATTTGTTTTGTTTTTGTTTTTGATTAATATTAAATATTGTGTTAAGTGAAGAGCAGGACATTTGGCAAAAGTAAGTTAATAAATTAAATATAATTTTTAAATTAAAATGATTTAATTTAGTGAGTAATGTACAAACAAAAACACGGAAAAGAAAAAATCCAATACGAAAATGGACAAATAAGGAAAATTTAAAAATATTAGAATATATTCATGCAAACGGACATTTTAAGGTTTATTATTTTCACAAAACTTGATTCGTTTTAATTATAGAAACAGCCCAAATATATTAAAAACAACTATTGGAAGGACAAAAATTGATGCAACGTGGGACTTAGTAAGATTTAAGATGGGATATTTTAAGCAAAGTTTTGTGAAGGCAAACAATTGGCGCAAGTCTACTGGCGCCGGCTTGCTAGATGACATCTGTAAAAGGTAATTAAAATCAATTTTATGTTAGTATAAATGTTATATATATGTTTCCTTTTTGTTTGTAGATAAGGTAAAATTGATGTGTCCATATTATGACCAATTGTCGGAAATATTTGGTGAGAAAGCTTGGAGTAACGAAATTGTTTTACAATCTTCTGTTATGGTGTTCGACGAGGAGACGTCAGTGCAAGAACTGAATAGTACCAGCGAACAAGCAGGCGTTGAAATAGCGAACAGCGAAGAAGCAACACCGTTTAGCACGATATTTAATGCAGATATACTGACAGAAAATACTGTGCAACAGACCACTACTAACAGAAGCGAGGTTAACACACAAAAAAAACTACACCAGGGAGGATTTGTTTCGAAAACAATTTAAGACGTAATAAACAAAAATCCGCCATTCATGAACTAAGCGATTTTGAACGCAAACGAGAGGAGTTCCAAAATCGGAAGCTTCAACTTGAAGTAGAAAAATTCGAGTTTCACAAAGAATTGGAACTAAAAAAATTGCGCATGAAGGAGGATAAGATGAACATGAGATTCAGGCTAAAAAAAGGGGAAGTTAAAACAAAAAGAGATATTGGCGATATATGAACTGGATTTAAAATATGGCAAAACAAACGATAGCGATTCAATTTTATTTTGTCCTAACTAATTAATAATTGAATTTAGTTTTAAGTTTTAATAAATATTAAAATTTAATTTTATTATTTTTAACCTATTAATGATAAGTTCGATACACTTAGTGTATTAGGTTTAGTATATATAGTATATAAGTTTAGTACTTTTGAACTT